CACATATATAAACAAAATACACACACACACACACACACACACACACACACACACATATATATATATAAATATATATATTTATATATGAAACATGTAATCCAATATGCAAAAATTATTTCCAAAGCTTATGATGTTTATGCTAACACACAGCCACAAACAAGCAGCATAAAAACTATGCAACATGAGGCCCCATTACCTCAGTGCGGCTCAAGGCACGTCTCTCGACAATGAGATCTTGGCTCTGAGAACGCCTGTTGAGCGAGGCGCAGTATAGCTTATTGCCTGTCTATGGCCCTGCAACACACATTTCATGCAGTGTATGTACTAAGATCAAAAGGCTCATGCATAATGAGGTTATAACAGCATAGTGCAAACAAAGGTAGAATGAAAGGAGACTCTGCAATAATAGACGAAGAAAACTGATTAATTTAAACTGGCATGCTGCAGATACAGTTTTCCATTATCTGAAAATGAGCATAATTTTTTACAAACATGTCATGTACCAAAATCAAAAGGGGAGAAAATGTCATTAAAATAAAGTAAATGTAAAGGTGGAAGAAAGACAAAGGCAAACTCCCATGCACAAGCAGGCAACATGCAAAAAAAGCTGGTGCATTAGTTCCACACCCTTACCCAAAAAAGGCTATTGTCTAGTATGGCAGTAGATCGCAGGGCAGCAAGGGGGTTGGGGGCTGCTTTGGGAGGGGGTGGAGGTGGGGGCAAGGAGAACCTCGGGCGGACATGGCTGCTGCCTTTCCTTTAACACCCATGCGCGGGAGGGAGTTAGTGCGGGGCGCACCACTGCTACTCCCTGTACTGCTGCTGCTGCTATTGCTGCTAAGGGGGGCTGCTGTGCTAAGAATGCAGTTGTTGCCATTCGTGTTGGGGTAAGTGGCTCCTCCACCATTCACAGATGTCGCCGCCACCATTCTATTGCTACCACTATCACCAGACATTCCCATGTTACCACCACCATTGCATGAATTGTTAGAACTGTACACCACAAAAGTCGAGTTGTGTTGACCCAAGTTCTGATTGATAAAGTTTTCTGTTTGCGACATCCCCATGAGGGTTTGCACTAGGAGGGTCACTTGAGGGGTAGTGAGAAACAGTGACAGCTCCAGAAATGGACTTTGAGAAGGAAAAGGTAAAGTTTGGGTTAATTTGGTTCAGCTGACTAAAATCAGACGATTGACTAGAACTCTTGCAAGAGCTTTGGTTTGTTATCGTTTGGTTCATTGGCACTGGAGAAGGACTAGCAGAGTTTTTTGGCTTAGGATTTGAAGGAGGCAAGGGAGGTTTGTAGTTGTTATTCACTGGCCTATTTCTAGGCGGAAGGGGAGGCTTCCTTGAAAGCGAATTCTGAATGATGAAATTGGAAAGGTTATTGACTTGCATTTCATCATTGACAGAACTTGGAGGTTGAGAATTCAAGGGCTTTTCACTGGTATTCTTAGGTTCTTTACATGGCTTAGAATAGATAGCATCATTATACACATATCTGTTTGGTGGGGGAACATATGGAGGTGGACCAGGCTTAGGCAAAGTGGGAGACAGAGGAGGGGATGGAGAATCAGCAACTGGTTTGATGCAAGACACATACAATGAGTTGCGATTGACCGTGCCACCTGTGCTATTGGATCTAGAACTCGTCCCATGGAAAGAGTGTCTATTGGGGTTCCCTGCACCTCTTGCTTTGTTATAATTGCCAGAGGAAGAGGATGAGGAGGATGGTTTGGGAGTTTTGGAGCGCCTATGCACAATGTTCTCGGACATTACTTGCGGCTTGGTGTCAGTGGAGTTAAGCGTGTTATTGTTAGCCTTGTCAGCTTCCGAGTCCCCACTCTCTCCGAGCACCTGTAACATCATTGGGAAAAAGCGTTGCACACTTGCACAGAACTGGACATTATAAGGCTGATCTGACTCTGTAACATGAAATACCAACTGAGTACAAAAACCCATATCTACTAAGGAGAAAAATGTAGAAATGCTTTCATATCAACATGATTCTCCCAAAGAATAGTTTAGAGGAAACTGTAATTACTCAAGCCTTATTGAAACTGCTTGTGGGCTTGTTGGTATTCATGATGCACTGACAGACTTTGCCAAGGGACATATTCACATTCACAAACATGAAAAGCTTCAGGGACTCCAACATCAGAAATCATTAGTAACTTTTAAACATGATAAAAGTATAAGACATGCCAATCACTCTTACACTGCATCCCAATTTTCTGATATTATTACACCTCATGATGTACAGACACACAGACAAAAAAAAAAAAAAAAAAGAGAATACTTGTAACTGTTATAGCTGGAAAGTGTGTGAGTCTTCAAGTGGGCTTTTAAGTTGGTTAATATAAGCGGACAATCAAAATTTTAAGAAGAGAACCAGTACCTACATTATTTTTATTTTACCAGAAGATTCCATTTAAGGTAAGACAATATCAACACATTTTGCAAAAACCATGGACAATTACCATTAAACTGCTTCTGTCCCTCTAAAGCCCTTTTCATGCAACTACAATGTCTTATTAAAGACATTTTAAAAGCTTTTTAAAAAATCAATTCATTGAAAAAACATTTATTTATAAAAGTCAGAACTTTCTGAAGCCACTGCTCATGAAAACAGGCAAATGCTTACACATGAAAAAGGCTACTGCCCATCATAAGCAATCTTTTTCTGTAATGAAGTCAATTAACCCTGTTAAAAAAAGATGCAAAAAGCCCTATACCACAATTATTCTTACCTGTTTTATCGCACTTTCATATCGTTCTTCTAAGTCATCTGTAGGATATGTTCTGTTCCTCTGTGCATGGCGACGCTGGTGTTCTGCACGCAACTGATGCATCCTCTCAGATCGAGAAGGCTCTCCTTCATCTGGTCTCATTTGAGGCTGCTGTTGCTGCTGTTGATTGTGGAATAAGCTTAATGATATGCAGGAAGAACATTCAGTTGGATAAATAATGGAAAACAACTTCTATCAAATAAACAGAAAAAGTAAAAGTTTGAACAAAGGAAGATCCTTTTGCTAATTTATTGGACAATGAGTATTTTACCTGATTGCTGCGAGCAGTGTTTTCGATCATGCGCCCTTACTGCTCCTGCATGCGATCGTGCTCTTCCTGCTGTAGGCGTCTTGCAGCTGCCAGCCTCTCAACCTCTGCACGGTCGACTTCTGTCCGACCTTCTGAGCGATCAACCTCCCCATCACCTTTGCTTGTGAGGCCATTGGGATTGTCGATACTCTTTCTGTGTTTTTCCAAATCTATGAAATGACAGGTTTTAGTAATGCATTCCATGGTACTATTATGATAAAATATCATCTAAACTCTCATTATTTCACCAATGTAAAAATAAACTCGTATATTTCACAATATTCATTCACACCATACATTTCAAATACCTGAACATGGAACCAAGTCCTTTGAAGATTCCTGGCTTCTTTTTGCCAACTTTTTTCTTATACTTATCATCGACAGCAGAATTCACTGATGACTGCCGACTGTTGCCTCTGCCGAAGCCAGAGCCACTGGATTCTGACTCTTCTTCTGCAACTAAATATCCAAAATATTCCTCATGTGAGAAAAAATCTTCTGAAGGCAATCAGCATACAGAAAATGCACAACATTCAGAAGACACATCAGCAGAAGCAAAAAAAAAAAAAAAAAAAAAAAAAAAAACATTGAAAAGCAACAATTGCCACAACAGTAGGAACATGCATGGAAAAAGTAAGGAACACCAGAGCAACATCCAAGGACAAGACAGCGCAAAATCAGGAAAGAAAACATGGAGTCAAGCAGTCGTAGGAAGGGGTGCCAGGATCCACCGCCATCAAGTGTCGAGAGGAAAAGGCAAATTGCACGCAAGCAATGCACAAATTTGGTCACGTGTTACCCACAGGAAATGGTGAATGTATGAACAATTCACAAGTAGCCCCACAGTCAGGTGATTCCAGGTCACATTCCCAATGGGATCAAGGAACATTGAGCATCCAGGCCCCATCGGGTCATAGAAGGTCAAGCCAAAGGTCCGAACGAACATGAGTAGGGTTGTCGGTGTCGGTGCACAGTAGGGTAGGAGTCAAGGCGGTAGAGATGGAGAGAAACATGAATCTATTAGGATTGTCCCTTGGAGTTGGATTACAGTGACTGTACTACTCTTCAATGAACTTATCCTCTTTTTTACCAGTGTCTACCATACATTGAAAGGTTTGGATTCATTACTTTTTAGGAAGTGTTACTTTAGGATCTACCTCAACAAATCACAGTCTGAGAGAGAGTATATATATCAAAACTACATTCTCAAACTTGTACAAATATATATATACTTCTGATGATTGTACTTTGTATACAAAATAGTTTACATTTTATAGACTTCTGACACTTACGAGTTTCCATCTTATTTCTTTAAACCGGTGAGAGGGACATCATAAGACCTGTCAACAGCAGCCCGAAGCTCTCATTGCACCCACGGCCCCTTGGCACTCTGCCAGAGCCCATGCGATGGCCCTCTTCTTCGAGTGCCATCTGGAAAGGGTTAAAATCAATTTTCTGTCTTTTTGAAAAGAAATACAATGTAAATAAATAAATCTATAGTACTCTCTCGGCAATAAAACTATCAAGATGCTAAAGCTCAGAAAAAATAATTAATATCAATGATTCTTCCATTATAAAAAAAAAACAGCAAAACAGCTCTCTTCCTGTCTTCTACATCATTTACATTTGCACACAAATTTCAAACAAATAAACAAAGAAAAGTTATGTACCGTTGAGACCATAAACAAAAATCTACCCATCCCTACCTCCTGAACCATTGTCTGCAAGGACTCAAGGCTTGAAGACTTCTTCATGCCTAGACCTGGACCGACATCTAGCCGTGACCGAAGGGCATCTGGAGATTATTTATATGATTTTTATGAATTTGGGTAGAAGCATAAGGACACATTTAATTTATTCAAGTCTCAATCCCTTGTACAGCTGACAACTTGATCATGGTGCACATGCATTGTTGTCATGCATCAAGAAAGCAAATTATGGTTGATATTATGGAATGATGATGTTCAGGTTGTCATTTATAATTGGGATGAAAACTTTACAACTTTACAACAAAAGAAACAAACTTTAAAATCTTATCTTCTTTTTCCTATGTAGTATCAGTTAAAACAATAGCAGAACTATGTACAAAGTATGATACTAAATTTGTTAAGAATTGTTAGGGAATGTCAAAACATTTAATGCATCACAGACTCCATGCAAAATGACTTTCTGGTAAATATTAGTTTAAGCTTCAAATTCATTCTCAGCGACTGACACTATTTATCTTGCTACCATTTATTCTTTCATCTGACAAACTACACTGACGATGACATACCTCTGATAAAACATGTAACACGAACTCTTTATTGGAACTTGACACATTAATATATATAAAAAAGAGACCATTCTCTTTGCAAAAGCCCCCAAGAGGAAAAAGGTCTACCAGAGAATCAAATGAAAATAAAGAGAGAATTTGTAGTGAGGGATGATTGATGATAATGTGACATCCAACACCCATATGAGAAAGAGAAGAGGAGAGAGAGAGAGAGGGCAAAACAATATATAAACCAGATAAAAAATAAACACGATTCCTCTTGAGATTGTAGCACCCAATATAACCCCCAACCTTTACCCTGTGGTGGCAAGTGCTCATGCTGAGAGGAGGAGGAGGGTTGTTCATGTGCGTGACTGTTGGTGCGCTGGAGATTTTGAGAGCGAGAGATTCATCCGACGAGGCCCGGACCAGCAGCTTCCCCCCCATCACAGCTGCGTCTCGACTCAATAACTCTCGGTTACGGGCAGCTACACAATAAGACAAAACCAAGAGATTTTATGTAAGTACTTTTTCTAGTTATCTGGATTTTTACATAAGATCTCTGTGATGCTAGCTATGTTTTTCTTCTCTTGTGGGGTGGGGGGTTGGGGGTAAGGAAAGGTAAAAGGTTTGGGGGAAGCTGTGAGTATAACAAGACAAACATGTGCTGAGAGATATTAATAGTATTATAAGATATATCTTCATATGTACAAATCCATTTCCATTCAAACACTCATATCCACATTCAGTAAAGCTCTCTTCTTGCTCTTGAGGTCTGTCTTGATGCTATACCATATTATAACATATACCATATATATGCAATATAAAAAAAGTGCAGTGAAAAATCATAGCACATACAGGTGAAAAAAAAATCATACCAGAACAGGGTGTGTTGCAAACATCAGTGTAACACAAAGTAGAGTAATGCATTGCATTCAGAAAGTTCAAATATATGTCAGGTGTGAGAATTAGTTAATTAGTAAAGAAATAGTGCAAACCCCATGCAAAAATAAATCAAGCCATACAACCAAAACCAGTTATCCTGCATGTCCCTCCATGGTGCAAAATTATCTAAAAACAATACAAACAAAACTAAGATAAAAACAGAAAAGAAAACAAATACATATAATGACTATCCAGACTACAAGAGGCAAAAAAAAAAAAAAACATGCACCACATTACTCTTGTTAGTTACCCCAGTTTGAGATCATGGCAGAAAGGTCCTGGCCAAAAGTGGTCCGCTGGTTTCCTTTGCTATGATTTCTCTCAAGACTCCGTGTGATCGGACTGAAGGGGCCTCTTGGGTACCCAGACCAATGCCCCTTGAGGCTCCCCCTTCCCACAGTTCTGTCGAGCGTCTCAGAACCCCCCTTCCTTGCATACTGCTGTTTGGACTTTGCCTTTGGACTAGCACTGACAAGGGTGTTGGCCTTCTGGCGCAGTTTGGGGGAGGGCTTTAGAATGGGTCTTGGGATCTCAAGGGTAGCATGGTGGTTCTTTAAAACTGAACTTTGTTGGGAGGTTTTGAGGCTCGATTTCTTTGAGGGTTCTGGCTGTTTTGCCTTCAAGGAAGGGTGATCCTGGGTGGGCAGGTCAATCCCAACCTCCCTTGACCCTGGCTTGAACTCCTCCCGTGTTTCACCTTAAGGACAGATACCATACCAGGGTTAGCCAAAAACATTCAGTCCAGTCTGTCACCATGTTCAAGAAAGGAGGACAGGGCAGTCTTTTCTCATCAACTCATGAACAGACTAGACTAATTGTTACTGACTTCCATTTAAGAAGCTGACCAACTAGTAACAGCATAACTTTAAAGATGCATTTTACAATTATGTAATATCAGTTAATTGTTATTTTTAACTTTATCTTAGAACCTGCTAATAATAATAAAAAAATTTTTTTTAATACAAATGCATTCATATCATATGTAGACTATAAACATATGACTCATAAAAAAGCATAATTGGTAAGCTTCTTTAGGATATAACAAGCACTCAAAAGGATACAAATACATTAATTTTGTAAGTTAGTTAGTCTCAGAAATAAAAGATACCTTGATATACATTGTCCAAAATACATCATAGTTTTACATGACTCAGCAAAATGACAGAATGTCTCATAATTCTACCTTCGAAAACTACAATATGAACTACACGCAAATGCACACTGAACCTAGTTGTTAATAAATTCAATACGAAACTACTACCACTGTCTACAGTTATCTACTATTATGTAAAACTATATGCATATAAGTTTTTTTTCTGTTATTGTGTTTATATTCTTTATGAAAGAATGTAACAAAAATTAACAAATTGGGAAGATATGCATGTAAGGGAGAAAAAATCTGAATGCAAGACTAAACCTTGCTTTCTTTTACATTAATGGGAAAAGGAATTCATGTTTAGAGAAATAACAATCACAGGCTTCAGATATCACCAGAAATTTAAAACTTAGAGCACCTGAAGAATTAAAGTTGTAATTACCAAGGACATCAAGAAAATTCTTGTGTTCCGGTGCAAACACTTACCCTCCATAGCAGCAAGTCCCATCCCCATGCCCTGACTTGCGGCCAGCTTCTCTTGTGCCAGCATCATCTGTCTTTGTTTCTCTCGCTCTTCTCTGTTTGGGGGAGTGGTATTGTGGTTATAGGTCTCAGGAGAAAAACTCATCATGGTGGAATTTTGTAATGAAAATCTATATAAATAATTTTACTTCTAATTAATCATTCATGCCCCTAATAATAATAAAAAGGCTGTACTGCCAAAATTCTCACCTCATAATCCCAAGTATAAAACTTTTTAGAGAATCTACCTCAAACTAATATTTCAAACAATCATTAAAACACTATGAGATGAATGTATTTCTAAAACAAGTTCTTTCCAGCTCTTTCCCAACCTCGCTTTCTTGTTGCGCTGATAGGTGTCGGTGTTCTTGGCATCTAGGGTGGCGTGGCGCTTCTCCGACATGCTTTGCCGTCCAAATTGATCCCTAGAAAATCCTGCTGCATTTTCTTCTAGGGAGGTCTGAAATAGGGAAAAAGGAGGGCATCTCGTTATACATCTTCAATTACTTAATGATAACAAGAGATTCTAAAGATAAGTTTTAGTTTAACTGCTCATCAAATTAATATTGAGAAAAATACGTACTGGCTTGTATAGGCATCGTCGGACTGACTTGGGTGGTCACTGTAGCCTCGGGAGGCCCAGGACCATCAGAGCGACAAATTTCTCTGTAATCACAAAAGCGGAGATAGTGAATGATAGCACGCTCATCAACTGAAAAACACACCTTCACAGATCATTTTTCTCATCATTCCACAAGAACTAAAGCTTTCTCTTAAGAATATTGTAGCTAGAAGCTACCAACCCTCACCTTGACATATGATTACCGGCATCGTCATGAATAATGAGGGTGTCTCTGGATGGCAGGTTGACAGTCGGCGACCCAAGGGGTTGTGGCCGGGCCCTCCCACCGCCACAGACTCCCTTTCGCCACGCATCACCAGCTGCTGCAACTGGGACGTGTTCCACGTGTCATGTGTTGCCTATCGTGCACAAAGAGATTTCTTGAGACAAATTCATGAAGTAAAATGTCAAAAATAGGCAATATGTATACATCTTCTTCATTTGGACTGTCTCACGTGAGCTTATTATATCTGTCATAAAAACTTTGATAAATTTACCTTATAATAACTTTCATTTCTTAAGGCTCCGTTATTCCCAGTGAGTCTCTGAATAACTGGGTTAATGTGGCCAAAATCACCGGCATCTATTTCATGGCCATCTCCTTCATACTGACAATCAAGAAAAAATTATGTAGCCCGACAATGTAATCAAACAACAAAAAAAGTCAAAGACTGTATCTTCATTTCCATTATGGATTGCAACGAGTGAGACTTCCTTACCTTATGGTCGTTAAAAATGACCGGTATCAGATGCATCAGTAGTACCAGAATGATCGGGGTCGGTGTTGCGGGCGATGACTTGGCACCTCCCAGGGTCTCGGTGCAGACGAGTTGGTGAGGAGGCTGTTGGCGCTCTCCCGACCTGACCTGTTGTTGGATGAGGGGCTCGACCTCTCCTTGTGGTCGATCCTCCTGGCCACCGTAAGTGAGATGATCCCGGCGTTGGACCCTAAGGAAAGGAAAAGTCCTCAACCACTGCGTCTCACCAGCACACAATTCAAATGTATACGCCCATCCCTCCAGCGCCATACGCCCATCCTTGATGCCACGCACCACACACTCACCTCCTGATGCATCGCTGTCCGCAGCGTCTTCATGGCCTCGCTGTTGGGTTTGCCGAGGAGCGACATCCCGTTGATGTTGACGAGCTGGTCGTTCTGGAAGAGGCGGCCGTCGCGCGAGGCGGCCCCGCCGTGGATCACGTTCTTCACGAAGATTCCCAGATCGACGAGCCGTTCGGGCCCGAGCTCGTCTTGCCCTTCACGCTCACTCCTACGAAGGGGAAAGGAATGTGGATAGATCAGTAAGGATGTTTAAAAATCCTGCCTAGAGAAAGCTCTCACCTATATCACAGGATTAAAATTCACAATCGACTCATCATGCGATATAAAAAGCAAAGAAAAACTCACCCAGTCCAGCTCTTTCGGAGTCATGCACTGGGATTTCGAACATGAGGATTTCTCTTTGTTTCCACGGGAACATGAGGCTGTCCTCCGCTGCTTTCTCCGCCGGCTGTTGGTACACAAAGATGTAGTTAGTTTGTGGCGAAGCAGTGACGTTCCCAGTTTCTGTTCAGAACCTGAATGCTGGTTTAAATAATGGCTAATAGTAAAACAAAAAAAGAGAATTGAAAAAACTGTGAATATGATATAACTGGTTTAGCTTATTTAGCTCTAATACAAAAAACAAAACAAATATAAACATTAACTGGCAAAAATCGTGATATCACCCCAACAAAAAAATGAATGAAAAAAAATACAAAAATGCAAGCTATATACACATTGCAAACACCGAACTAATAATCTATCAGGCAATGCTTATAAAAAACAAGATGCAATTTGTTATGAACACAAAAAGCTCTGTGATGACGATCTCCTCCACATCCAACTGACTCGCAAAACTCTAAAATCCATTCACTACAACCTTGTCCTCTATGAACAGTGCCTGAGTGGAGGAGAAAGATCATAATACCTGGGGAGGAAGGGGAGACTGTCTTGGTGGTGGTAGGAGACCTATAACAAAATGTCAAAGTCAATAACACATTCGGTCCAGGTCGGAAGCCTTAGCACTTACTGAATATCTATTGGTTCGGAACCAAGAAATATACAGGAAATGACACATCTTAATACGACTAAACTACTGAATGCTCACACTTTCTATGAAACCAGGCAAACACACAACGGAGCAACGCGGCGTCAAAATGACTGACGTGGCTCCATTAGCAAATGCAACAGATTAAAGGGCTTTGGTGGACTCTCTTGTTAACTGTGTCTGGGTCTGAATGGCAATTTTTAATCAGACCAACTCATTAACAGGCCAAAAATTCGTATATTTCTAGAACATCTAAGAAGTGACGGCAATTAACAAGGGTTCCATGACTTGGGAAAAGTGCGAAAAGCGCCGAGCTAAGCAGTGCAGTGTGACTAAATGAAAAAGTGCAGCTATAACAGCATTAAAAAGGACAAAAAAACAAAAGCGCGCGCAAGGCAAGCCGGCCCCGCGACGACCTGAACCCAAGCCCACTCACCAACTGTCTCGGCAGCTTCGGACTCGCAGGCTTTTCGGTCTCCGGCGTTGAGTCGGCCGTCCCGACCCCGCATCGCCGTTGCGCTGGTCCTGCCGAGAGACCGCCAGCGTAGCCGCCCCTCCGATGGGGATCTCCCGCAGGAGGGCGGCGACCTCCGACTGACTGCGCCCGTCACCTCCACGCCGTTCACCTCCAGCAGACGGTCGCCGATTCGAAGGTTCCCGTCCTCGATGGCCGCTCCCTGGAAAGGGGAGCCAAGGTCACACTCACACTCTAAGCATCTATCGCCAGTTCAAAATTACAAACATATATACAATCAAATGACGACCCCTAACCAAAAAACAAACAAAACAAAAAACAACCTTTGGCAATATATTTTTTATGTAAATGGGAGCCTCTCCCCCGGCGGGGTTGTCTCTTGTGGTTATCGAGAAGCCGAGGCCGTGCTGGCCCTTGGTGAGGTGCACGTTCAGTCTGCGTCCGATTTTGCGCGTGTTGCTCTGCAGGATCACGGTCTGCGTTCGCGAGGAGAGCGACGCCGGAGGAACCTTCCTCGTGGACATGACGCTAGCGACCTTGGCACCTCCGACGACTGCAACCGTAAAGATAAGAAAATCAATTCCGTTCCTACGGTTTCCTTCCACTAAATGAAGCTGGAATATGACCACTTTCTTTCTGACAAACAACTAACACAAAAGACTGACGGATGTCCTCACGTTTTTCCTCTCCTTCGACCAATTCCGCGGCCTGCCCCGCGTACCACTCCTGCCTCTGGCCTTTGACAACACGCAGTCGTAGTTCTGGCGTTAACATGGCGTCTTTGAAAATTTCTTGAGCCCTGAAGGAAAAAAATCAATAAAAACTGAAATCAAACCAAGTCTTTTTTTCTGCTCATAAAACTTCTAAAAAAGCACGCTCGTCTTTACACCGTCCGTGCAACCAAAGTCGCGCTCCTTACTTTTGGAAAGTAATATTATTGAGCGGCTTCCCGTTGATCTCGATGATCCTGTCGTGGACCTCGATCCTGCCGTCGCGGGCGATCCGTCCGCCCGGCTCCACGCCCTCGACCAGCAGCCCCTGGTCGTGCCCCGTGACGTCCGTGGGGTCACGTGGATGCCCAGCGGGCCCCGGTCGTTGCTCAGGACCACGAGGATGCTGCAAAGCCACACCAAGAAATTGCTTTGGGTTCCGTACTTTCGAGTTCCAGTGTGTGAATATCACGTGATTTCTGCTAAGTTAACAATATATATCCAATCTGTTTTACAGATTCTTCGGAGAGAAAGCCGTAGGAGAGAGCTGAGCTCGACCCCGTGCACCTCCAGAAGAGAACCGACCTGTTGGCGGCCTCGTCATGCGAGGGGTCCCTGGAGTGCATGGGGACGAGGCTGACCCTCCCAGGGGCTCGCCGCCTGCCCTCGCTCGCCCCACCACTCGGTCCGCCGCGTCCGCCCACCGCGCCATCGCCGGGTTGTCGGACAGGACCTGCGCGGAAGCAAAGCCATCATCAAACTGAGATTCTTAAAGACGACGCTTATCAATCTTCAATAGGGTACCAGGAAGCAAATCGGAAAATGTAATATAAATTGCATTTCCATCTTTTAACATTCCAAAACTCTGATGAGCCTTTGAGGAAATGTAAATCCTTCGCATGTCCTACAACCAAACCAAAAAGAAACCAAAAAGGAAAGAGACAAGAAACTGAAAAAACAAACAAAGAGGCAGAAAAATGAAAAACGAGTATCTAGAAGCGCTGCAACTACCTGAACAGAACATCTATTGGTGTCTCTAGAGAATCTGGTGAAGGCCGGTGGTGGCGGAGTGGTGGGAGGAGGAGGAGGAGAGGAGGAGGGCGTCTTCTCCTCCCCGAGCCCTCCCCCCTCTCCCCCGGGTCCACGAACACGTTGTCGTCTTCGTAGGAGCTGTGGCCGTCCTGGACATAGAGGTGGGGAATCTAAGTAGATAAACGGGGAGAGAGAAAAGGAAAGAGAAAAGGGGAAGGGGGAATGAGTTAATGAACGCTTTGTGGGCTGCGAGAACTTAGAGTATGTTTGGCAGTGACCAATGATGATTGATAATAACAATCGATATAATAGTAATAATAAAGGTAATATTAAAAGTTCTACAAGACACGTCCCATAGTCATGCCTGAGACCGTTAAAGCCAAGCAATGATTCAAAATCAAAAAAGGAAAAAATAATAAAATGATACCATACAAAAATATCAAATCAATAGTAAACAAATAACAAACTCATAAAACCTGAACAAACAAGCCAACCATAAAATAATAACTTAGAGAAGTCACAAAACGAAATTCGGAATTCCCGACGCCACACTTACCACCATTTTCATGGGCGTGGAGCTGGGCGGCGCATTCTGGTCCTCGATGATGGGCGCGCGGCCGACCACCTCTTGGTCGGATCGGGCGGGGCGGCGGCCGCGGGCGGGATGGCGAGAGGCGGTTGAGCGCTGGCTCGCTCCCGCGCCGCACGTGCAGCGGCGGCGGCGTGGCGCTCAGCTCCTCGCCGGTGATCTCGATGTCGTTGCGTGTGAAGGGCGCGAACTTGTGCTCCACGCCCTGCGGGGAGGCCGAGGGTGAGGCATTGCGGGGGGGGGGAGAATTTAAAACTAGAGGGGAAGTTATGAGAGATGTGTCCTTTAAGACTGGAAAGTACCCTCATAAAAATGAACAAAGAAAGCCACCTCTTTCTCATAGCAGATTACCAGAGCTCCATGCTTTGGCGGCGGGTATGTAGAATACGCTCTTCTATAACTTCATACTTTCAAGATCTACAACCTATTCTGCCCCTCACAACTAGTCAGACTCTTTTCACCCCCCCCCCCTCCTAAAAAACAAACCCTACCTAGGACCCTTTGGACGAAAGAGAAGTCAATCCAAACTCACTTGGAAAATATCTGGCGAAGGGTTTTCCGAGTCCGAGGACGCCGAGGTGCCGTCTCCGCCGTGGTGGTGGTGGTGGTGCGTCTGCTCATCGTAGATGGCTATGATCTGCTCCCGGTCGTCGGCCACGTCGTTGAGGCGGTCGTCCGGGTCGAGGATGCCTCCGTCCAGCTGCTTCAGGTTGTGCACGGTCACCCACGAGTTCGATGGCTGCGGGAGAGGCCGCCGTTAGTGTCATGGATTAGGACAAATAGAAGTAGGAAAAAGAAAAACATAAAAACTTAATATATAAGCAAAGTCAAGCATACGCATCCACACAAACACAGAAATGCCAGACATACATAGTTAAAAAAAAAAAAAAAACGAAGCATGTGCATGCAACATCTAACGAAACAAAATCGCTTCGAAAAAAAGCAACCGCGACATAAAAAAATGGAACGCGGCCAAGCTAGCCTAGGCTGCGCGTCCTCACAAAGACGAAGGATACTGCAGGAGCTCCCTGGGCCCACGGGCTACGGGAGGCCGGCCACCGAGGGCATCAACCGTGAGGAAATGCCTCCGCTTGGGGTGTGTGTGTGGGCGTGTGTGGGTGGGCGTGTGTGGGTGGGCGTGTGTGGGTGGGCGTGTGATTGAAACGGTATGTGTGCGATTGACTGAATATGCGGTTGAGTGAATAAATATATGAATATGTGGATGATCGAGCGCGTGTGTGCGAGAGAGTGAGCGCTTAATTATTGATGTGTATAATGAGGGGAATTGCAACATAGTGAGACCAAGAGTGTGATACTGATAACTCGCCACGAAATTACTAGCGACTTTCTATCACACTGCTGATTTTAATAAACATATCCTTATCCTTCTGGGACCTGTGCTGTGAGCATGACCAGAGTCGAAAGGCCGTGGAGGGAGAGAGGGAGAGGAGAGAGGAAGGTGAGAGAGGAACAGGAAGGAAAAACGAGGGGGACAAGAAGAGGAGAGGATGGAGGAGAAGGGAAGAGTGGGAATAAGTGGAAGAGTGGGGAGGGAGAGGAGACGGAGGGAGGCGGCCAGATCCACAAGGATGTGCATGAGACGAGAAAGGGCGAGGTCAACGGTCCGCTGCATGACGCCTCGCTGCCAGACCCTCACTCTTGGACATGCACTATGCAGTAAACAACAACATGTATGATAAAAGCATGCATATGGAAACACATACAGAAGACAAGGCATAGAAATACAAATACTTGCACATGCATACAAAAACATAAAACGACACAAAAACACAAGAAGCATAAAACAAACACGCTACATACACACACACCCAAAAATACAAGTGCAGCTACAAACACGCACACGCACACAAAAAAGCTCAAGCGCACGCACATACACACTCACACAAACCGGGCGACCTCAACGCGTCAGCCACAAGACGACAGCAGCTGGACGCACCGGATCCTCCCTCTTGGAGGTAACAGAAAAGAACAAAACGATACAAGACAAGACGGCAAAGACAATCCGTTCTAAACGCGTGCACTTTTCCATGGGATTCTATCTCAAAGGCTCTTGGACGGGACAGTGAAAATCTTGAGCGAATGATAGCTGTGGCTCGGTGAGGTGACGCGTGCTACTGCTGCCTCCACCTCCTCCATCCTCGCCTTCTCCCCACGCCCAGATCTGCGTGCACGACTTCCGGCCTCTGTGATACCCCGAGGAGGAGTCCCTCTGCAATATCCGTCTTCAAGGAGGCGAAGGAGGTTCGAGACAAGCCCGCCGCACATTCGGTGTTCCCTTACATATACATACATACACACACATAATATCACCTGTATGTGAAAATGCACTCGGTAAATACAGCCGAGAGAAAATCTTGGGTGTGTAAACAGGTCCCTATAAGTCTCGCTAGGCCGTCCCTCGGGCTGAAAACAGTCGTTAGCCGAACCACACCTCAGTGCATGACACAGATTTTCACCGCGCACATGTCAACAACGCCTCCTCGCTCACACACGGACACACGAACGCCTCGCACACGGGCATGCGGTCGACCCCAGAGTGCCCGCGCCGCCACGGAGTCCTCCTCGAAGGCACACCACTCGAAACCCTCGCCTTGCTGAAACCACAAGCCCGTCCGCGCGGCAGCTCGCCCACCTGCCCCAGCACCAGTGCAGACATCCCTCGGCGGCGGCGGCGGACACACTGCCGCGCGGCCGCCGAGGCATGCGTGTGTTGGTGCGTGTTGCATGGAATGTTTGTTTGGGATTGCACTGCGCCGCCCCGGGCTTTCCATTTGCCTCTCGTGTGTGTGTGTGTGTGTGTGGTGTGTTGTGTGTGTGTGTGTGTGTGTGTGTGTGTGTGTGTGTGTGTGTGTATGTGTGTGTGTGTGTGTGTGTGTGCGTGCGTGCGTGCGTTGCGTGCGTGCGTGCGTGCGTGTCGCTCATGCGTGCGTGCGTGCGTTGCGTGCGTGCGTGCGTGCGTGCGTGGTGTGTGTGTGTATGTGTGTGTATTGTTGTGTATGTGTGTGTATGTGTGTGTGTATGTATGTGTGTGTATGCGTGTTGTGTATGTGTGTGTATGTGTGTGTATGTTGTGTGTGTGTGTGTGTGTGTGTGTGTGTGTGGTGTGTGTGTGTGTGTGTGTGTGTGTGTGTGTGTGTTGGGTGTTTGTTTATGTGTTTGCGTGCGTGTGTATGTATGCGTATGCGTTTTCTCCATGTCCTCCCCATGTCTCCGTTAACCTGCCTTTCCCAAGCAACCGTCCGCAACCCTGCCCAGGCGTTGGCACACGCCCTCACAGCGTGGGCGAGGGCGCATACTACGCAGGTCAGCGTGCCCCGCGAGTCGGGTCAGGGGGCCTCGGTTGCCACCGTGGAAGGACTCCCTCCTGACCTTCACCCGAAGCGACCTCCCCGTGACGTGCGCCTCCAACTATGCGGACTCACAAAGAATTTTCCCCGAACAACAGGTCTTCTTTCCCTGCCATGTGCTGCCCCGGACGGCAAGCGCGCCTCACTAATCCCTCATGAATGCTCACGCACTCTACTCACCTGCCTCGCCAACACGCCTTTCATCCTCCCTCCTATCTACGCTCTCCCTGCTCTTCACTCCTTACTCCTAACTACCCTCTTTCTCCCTTATATCTACGCTTCCCCTCTCCCTCCTCCTCCTCCTATCTACGCTTTCCCTCTCCCTCCTCCTCCTATCCAAGGTCTATATAAGTACTTATATAGACCTTGCTCCTATCTACGCTTTCCCTTCTCTTCCCTCCTTCCTCCTAACTACGCTCTCCCTCCTCCTCCCTTATATCTACGCTTCCCCTCTCCCTCCTCCTCCTATCTACGCTTTCCCTTCTCTTCCCTCCTTCCTCCTAACTACGCTCTCCCTCTCCTCCTCCCTTATATCTACGCTTCCCCTCTCCCTACTCCTCCTCCTATCTACGCTTTCCCTCTCCCTCCTCCTCCTATCTACGCTTTCCCTTCTCTTCCCTCCTTCCTCCTAACTACGCTCTCCCTCCTCCTCCCTTATATCTACGCTTTCCCTCTCCCTGCTCCTCCTCCTTTCTCCTATCTACGGTCTCCTCCACCTCCAGACTCACCTCCTGCCGCAGCGTCTTGTGTCTGCGGTGCACATGGTAGGTGTGCGTGCGCGAGAAGAGCCGGGAGAGCTTTTCGGCCACGCTCACCACCTCGGAGTAGTGCAGCTTCAGCTCACCGGGGATGTTGAGCACACTCCGAGAGGCGCCGGTGGTGGCCGCGCTGCTGACGTGACTGTTGTTGTTGTTGTTAAGGTTGTGGTGGTTATTGTTATTGTGAGCAGCAGAGGGCACCGCCACGCTACGACTCCGCATGCGCATGGTGATTCAAGTGTTTTCTTTTATTATTAGTGTTCTATTCTTGACACCATCACAATTATATTTTTCCAAGTCTTTTTATTCAATACTTCACTTTGTAGATTTTTTTCAGTATCAGTAACAATTTCTTCGCGTTCAGCGTGACGACGCGTCAACGAGACAGTTGAGGCGGTTCAACCTGTCGAGAAGCGTCTTGAAAAGGCCAACGCCTAGCCCCTGAGTGTCCTGGTCACGCTACCTGCTCGGGCTTCCTGTCATGTTTACCTGTAATGGTCGCTGGGTTAGAACACTCGCACCTTCCCCTCGCGAAACGCACTCGCCCTCATCTGCCCTCGTTCGCGACGTCCGCTAACGAGGACTCTTCTGCGCTCGTTTGGCGTCGGCCGAGGGCTGAGGCGAGCACCCAGTCCGTTCACCTCCGCAAAACAAAACGGGGTCGCTCGTTGCCTCCCCCAGCCACTACCCCCTAGAACTCTGTCGCTCGTTTGCCCCCCCCCCCCATCAACCCCCAACCTCTAAAAGCAGGCTAACATGCGCTTCGATCGTTTAGAGCGTCACAACAATCTTTGTGATCACCTGGGCGTAAAAATATGAGATACTAACGTGGCCAGGAGATTGCTAAGCCACTGGCAGACGAACGGAAGCCACCGTTTCCAAGCGATGACTTAAGAAGTCCCACCATGCCCTCATGTACCCAAGCCCCCCCCCCCCTCACATGCCACCCATCAGCATCTAGTCACCAAAGCAAGACAGCACAGTTCCCTCCCCTGCTCCTTGGCTCCGCATTTCCCCCGGGATGCGGCGCAAGGCTGTGGGCGCGACACAATGCCCGGCGTCTCCCAAGGGTCCTTGTGACGCCCGCCTGGCATACCTGCAGCGCCGCGGACAATGCTATCTGATAAGAGTGCGGTTCCGCAGCGACCTTGGCAGAGGCGACGGCAAGCCTTTCCCTTCTAGAATGGCCTGCTGACAGCCCCAGCTTTCGCCTTTGCAATGGCAATTATGATATTAAATCCATATATAAATAAACTGCAAGCCCAGAAGCCACAGTGAATTCGAGCTATATTTTCTTTCCATGACCGCAATTTACATCACATCATTTCTCCCCGTCCCGCCCCGAATCGAGACGGCGCCACACCCACACTCGCCCGACGGATCTACGCCTTGTTTCAGAGCCCGGAGGGAAAATAATAATGATGATGATGACAGGGAGAAGGAGGAGGGGGGAAGGGAAAGAGGAGAGGGTGAATTTTCCTCATCTCAAGAAACTAAGATAAAGCTGGGCGCCACACAAGGCCATCCTCACATGACTGGACTTGAAAGAGGGAGCTTAGAAGAGATGCACTCGCTGATTTCCGATTATGCATGATCAGTGATGGCTGAAGTTACCCGTGTGCATAATTTTCAAGAGTAACACGAATACTTAAAAATACAAACAAAAACACAACCACAGATACCGAAGTACCATCGCGTGCGGCCTTAGGGTGCACATGTAACCCGCGCCCAGATGTGACGACGACGAGGAGAGGGGGATGTGACGTCATAGCCCCCTACCCTAATCCCCGCCCCCGCCTCCACACTGTCCTTGTAGCGGGCGTGACTGGCGCCAGGAGCGTGACACGGTAACGCTCGCCTCATGCTTCACTCATTACAGCGGTCATGCATGAGCGACAGTAAGAGAGGAAGAGAAATGGATCGATCGACAAACAGAGAACTAGAGAAGAGGGATAAAAGGACCCTCGCCACAACGGACAACCGGGAGAGAATGCCTGATCAAGAACAAACGTCAACACGATCGCTGCCCCATGCAAACACACAAACACACACACACGAGGGGCCTTTCTACCCCCCTCCCCACTTCCTGAAACGCTCGCCCCCGCCCTCGACTCCCGCAAGTAACGCATCCACCCTCCTCCTTCCCGCCCATCTGCGGAAGACGACGATGGCGGAGATCAGCCCGCGACACATCACTTGGCTCAGGGGACCCGCTCACGAGGGCGCTCTCGCCGCCCGCTCTCTGCACGGCGGGGGGAAGGCAGGGAAAGGGAGAGGAAAAGTGAGAAGGGGAGGGAGTGGGAACGGGAGAGGGGATGGGAGAGGGAGAGGGAGGGGGGAGACGGAAGGAGTTTGAGAAGGAGAGGGAGGAAAGGAGAAAATTCATCTCATGGGATTGGTTTCAATAAAGAGAGAGAGAGAGAGAGAGAGAGAGAGAG